AACCGCTACTCACATTGACATTGTTTCCAGGTGATGGAGGAGATTTTCTGCCAAGAATCCGGTCGGATTTCAGGCGTGAGTTGCTGATGAAGGAATTATCTGAACGACAATCCGCAAATATGAGATACAACGCACTGAATATAGCCGAAAAGACGAGGATGGTGATGATTTTGTATGCGGCTTTTCGCATCGTAATCATGTGAGTAAAGCCCTTCTTCTTACTCTTCCTTGGCCTTACTTTGCACAGAATCGAGATATCCTTAGTTACTACTGAAGGCATGTCTCGTAGCACCAGGTTTTGTTTAATGGCGTCTAAACCCTAAAACGAAACATTCAAACACAGACCTAAATCAAGACGCAGTCGAATTAGGAGTAATGATAGTGTTAAGCGATAAGAGTTTAAATACCAATAACAAGTTGTGTAGATTCAGGACACCTCGAATTTGAGTCCTGTTAGAAGTCTTAGTTGCCTTAGGTGACAAGTATTTTCTATGGAGAGGATTGAATTTCTTTGACCAATAATCTAATGCCACGTTATGTTTCTCCCTAATTTTAGATTTTATTTGCCTGGTTAATTTTTTTTTATTTTTATAATTCCACTATGCGAATTCTATCTCATGGATTAATTAGTTAAGCGTAGTATTTTATCTTTATCAAACCTGTGTCATATCTTTTTATTGTGATAAGTTTGGAGAATAACCGAATGGGAGGGCATGGGTGTTTTACTTTTATCATAACTTATAATTCGATAAATTCCCTATTCTTATATATTTTTTTCTTAAACTTTCTATTATTTTGTTACTGAATCATTATTTAAGTTTTTTGTTATAATATAAATATATAGTCCAAATTGGACGATGGATTGATTGTGTGTGTTCAGACTGAATGCTGTCACATTACATCGGGAGGGAAGAAGCATGTCGTTTCTGTGAAGTCATTCTAGTTGAACATTAGACGTTCTATAGAAATACAACAGTCAACTGCTTGCCTGTGGAAGTTGAGTTTTGTTTTCTTTTCATTTTGTGAAAATGATAATGAGATGATCCGCTGTTCATAGATGGAACTTTGAACTTTGTCTCGATGGTTATCCACAGATTACCTCATGCTTCGTCTTATGTCCTGCATTAGACAAAAAGCCTCGAACGTTACAACAGAGTGTGTTATATAAAGCTGCAGGCTCAAATGGCGATCGGAAAGAGGAGGAGAACCATACCATGTGTCTCAAAGCCATATCAAGAGACGATCTCGAGAGATTCCTCCCGAACCCCGAGCCTTCTGATTTTCCCGTGGAGTTGCCTCCGCCCTGCCTCGGCGGTGGCAGTTTCCTCATGTTCACAACTCTTTCAACCATTTTGGTCCCAATCAACACCGGATTCACCACCTCATTGCTAGATCTGGACTGTCCCCTCTTCACTGCAGCAGAAGGGTAGGCTCTGCCTCTCGAAGCCGAGATAGACCGACCCGGAATCTCGGATATCTTCGAAACCGGGGGCTTGGCTCCAGGTGCTGATTTTCCGACAGAGGATGATCGGGTAAGTGCAGAAGCATGAGAACTGGGTTTGCTCGAGGTGGTTCTGATTCTAGCGCTCAGTGTTGAGGTCATAGGAGCTGATTTTGTGGAAATGGAGGGTCGGGACTCTGTGGAATTGAGCTTTACAGGTCGTGAAATGGATGTGGCCTGCTTCAATGGCTTAGTGCTCGGCTTTTGCTCAGCAGTGGCGATCGTCTGCTTATTAACAGCGGTCAGAGAGTACACTCCAGGTGCTAAACTTGCACGCCTCGACGTCTTGACATTTCTTGACACAGGTTCTTCTAGGATGTTCTCAAGCTTCAGGCAAAAAATGTCAAACATCAATCAGAGCACAAAGCCATGGCATATGTATATACTTTCAACCAGAAGATTGGAAGTAACCAATATCAAGCCGAGGATGTCTAAAACAGTTCTAAACAAGCAATCCGACCAAATGAGAATGGCTAGAAAATGGTTTTGAAGAGTCAGATTCGGACCCGTGGTTTAAGGACAGCAGACTGAACGTTAGTTTCCTCGAGCTCAACGGCCGGGTTCCACTCTGCCTCCTTCCCCGAGTCCAACAACTTCTCAACAGAGCTCGCCGTTCTGCTTTCATGAGCTTCATTCCAAGAATCTGTCCAACAACGAGTGAAACAGGCCTTGCTACTTTAGGGAAATCAAAACTATGAAGAAAAAAAAGGTGAACTACAAGCTTTGAGAACCCGTGATACGAAACAAAAGTTGTAGTAGATTCACTGGGAGCTCGAACTTGGGATAAACGGTATCGTGCTGGGCCCGGGAGGAGGAGAAATTCTCGGATCTTCCTTGTCGAGTCTCCGCATCTCGAGGAACAGAGCGAGCTCTTCGTCTCCATCTCTAACCGTAACGTTCTCCATTCTCCAACAGGTCTTTCACTACTCGCAGCCTCTTTATAATACGATGGCCTCAGATCGAGAGAGGACTAACAATGGCGGTCGAAGACAAATGCAGAAGGAGAAGGAAAACGGCTCGGAGAAATGAGAATGACAGAGAGGACTGTTGTTGTTTGTTGTCGAAAAATTCTCTGTACAAGTTCTTAGATTCAGTTGCCTACATTCACGTGACTGCCACTTTTGGTGATTTCACTTGCGGCGACGTTCAACCGTGGACCGTTAGATGCAGCGGAGACTTGTTCATCGAACAGATATTATTGGAGCGGACAGACCAATAAAAGCAGCATTCACTGTCAGGCCTCGTATGTCGTGACATTCAAATTTCTAATCTCATTAATATCCCGATCTTACTGTTGAGAAATTTTAAATTTTTCATGAGTTAATTAGTCGTTTTAATTATTTTTACAATGAACTACGAGTATTTACTTGGAATTAAAAACGTAAATATTTTAGTTTTTCTCGTACAAATTTTGGCAAAACTGTATTTATATTTTATATATGTATTTACCATTTACTAATGACAGCGTTAAAATACGGCCCAACACATTGGGTCAGTTTACCGATAATTGGGCTATATGATAAGGGGTGTCGAACTCTTATTGGGCCTTATATTTGTGAAAAAAGCCCAATAAATTGGGGCCCAAATAAAAGCAACCGACCCAATGTTATTTGTGAAGTCCACGTGTCAGCAGATGTGACATGCCATGGGCCCACGGGCCACCGCAAGCAAGCATTAGCGTGTGATAAATTGGCGGCAACTGTTTCATCACGACCGTTCAAATCAACGACCTTCTCGAACTCTTATCATGTAACCGGCTATAGCAGGTAAGAGGCACCTGGCACTCTTCCTTTGTTACCGGCGCTCTCCCGTACTAGGTTTTACCGGCTCCTAAGGTCACCGGTTTTTAGCATCTCCTTTTGAGGTCGGTCGTTGTCGTCAGTAGATAATGGATATTTTCTCTGCTCTCTGATCGTTTTTTTTTGTTCTTTCTTTGGGGCTTGAATTTACTTTGTCGCTTGGTTTCTCTCTCGCCGAAGGGATCTTCGTTCTCTTTCGTCTCGAGTAGTGAAAGGTTATGATTTTTCTTCGTTTTTTTCTTTTCTGAATCTGTTTGTTTCGTTTCGATTTCTGAACGATTCGTTTTCTCGCTGTTTATGGAGAATCTCGAGCTGAGAATCGCAGGCTGAGTTTCTCGCGGTTTCTCGATCACCAAACAGTGGGTTATAGCTGAGAATTAGGGTTTTCTTGTTCCTTTTTTGACAGTTCATTTTCCCTTGGATCGCTGTTTCGAATTTGTTATGAACATATATTCCTCTAGAATTCTGGTGAAAATAATTATGGTGCGAGTGTTCAATCATATATTGTTCTTCTTTCAAACACTTTCTCGATAGATTGATTATCTTCTTCTCTCTGTGTGACGTAGAGAATCTTGAGAGAGAGAGTTCCATAGCTGTTCTGTGTTTAATAGTTCTCGTGTTTCTTGATGTTGGGAGATTTATTCTTCATTTATCGAGTGATTCAAATCGTTAATTCTCGAATTCACTCCCAATCGGTGGTTTTCTTGCAGCAACGATGACAGCGAAGGGTAAAGATAAAGCTAAGACCACAAGGGAAGCCTTGAAGCCAGCCGATGACAGGTTAACTCTCTGGTACTTTTTACGTTTACATAAAATGCGTTATGGTATGGACAATGATAGAGGCAGAGCCTCTTCTTGCTGAATGGAGCTGTAATGGATTCCACTGTCTCATGGCTTATCTTCTGCTGCGTTGATGCAACAGGAGGACGTTGTGTCTGGTTCTATTGTTTACTTTTAGGTTAACAAGATGGCTTTTGTAAGGCTGTCTAATGTGATTTGGTTCCAATATGCTGCTGTGATGTCTGTTTGATTTTCAGAAAGGTTGGAAAGAGGAAGGCACCGGTGGATAAAGCTAGCAAACGGACAGCTCGAAAGGAGAAGAGGGCCAAAAAGGATCCGAATAAACCGAAAAGGCCGCCCAGTGCTTTCTTTGTGTTTCTGTAAGTATTGTTGAAGATCTCACCCAAGGCGTATTCGCTTGAATCGTCCAACTTTTAAGGGAAAAGCTCGATTGTATCTTTTTGGCAGGGAAGACTTTAGGACAACTTTCAAGAAGGAAAATCCAAATGTGAAAGCCGTGTCAGCTGTAAGCGTTTTGGCTGATTCCTTTAAATTCCAATGATCATAGCCTATATATATTTGTTATAATATGAGGCCCCCATGTATGATGTACCTTTACCTTGTGAAGGTTGGGAAAGCTGGAGGGCAGAAATGGAAGTCAATGTCGGGAGATGTAAGTATCTGTAGAAACTTTCTTCTTGGTACCGTGATGGAAATTATCTATTTTTGGAGGTTAATTCAGAAGTACGATGGAATATATCATCTGGCACCCATAAAAACTTATCTTCGTCTGATGATGATCGTAGTGAAGAATTCTGGTTATCTTATGCCAACTGTATAGAGACATTGACACGATTTGGGCCCTTGCTTTTGCAGGAGAAAGCTCCATATGAAGCTAAAGCTGCAAAAAAGAAGGCCGAATACGAGAAGCTTATGAATGCACACAACAAGAAGATGGTAAATGTGGAGCGTCTATCACGTATTGCCAATCTCTTTCGGATGCTTCATGCTTATGTTTTTAATCTTCTTCTTCATTGGGCAGGACGAAGGCAGTGATGAATCTGAAAAGTCAAGATCCGAGGTGAGTGATGAAGACGAGAAAGCCAGTGGGGAGGTAAACATTCTTAAATATGCTTCTATATATTGGAAGTCATCTAAAAAAAGATTACAACACAGTTCCAAAATATGCTTTAGGTACTTCTTTCAATGTATCACAGTATGATATGTCTGGTGCTGATACTTATCAGGTGTACAATACATCCTCGATGGATCATGCCCATGATTTTACATGTGACCCATGTGGAAAATGTGTTTTGCATGGATCTCATAGCTATGAATATATATACACACACAAACATACGTATAATGCGCTCAAACATACTTATACTTGGTAGCAGTTTTATGGTGGCAGCTAATATGTCCTCCTACTTTGAAACCAGTCAGTCTTTTTTTGGCGTTCAAGTGCCTTCTTTATCACCGAAGAAATGACCTTTTTTGAATCATCGTATATGTGCAGGAAGAGCAACAAGAGAAGGGAGGGGCAAGAGACGAAGAAGAAGAGGAGGTAGGGGAAGAAGAGGAAGAGGAGGAGGAGGAGGAGGAGGAAGACTGAGGTGGGATTTCAAAGTCATCGTATTTTGGTATAAGAGGGCGTTGGAAACAGCCCAACCATGACGACACACAGTGGCAATCCCCTCCCCCCTCCCCCAAGTATTTTGTGGTTAAGAAACTATATATATATATGTATATGTATATGTATATGTAGGTTGGGAAAGGGTGACATTTTGTCTACTTAACTGAAAGAAAGGCACTGTGTTTGGTTGTATGGTAAGTTGTGACAGTCTTGACATTTTCTGTGTTTCGGACTGGATAACTATGAACTCCAGTAAAGATTGTAATCCAACGTCGACGGTTATTAGTAGAGGGGGACAACGCGACATGATTCTTCAGTGAATCACAACGCCTTTGTGTGGATGAAACTGTCCGAAACCAGCTTCGGACACATTGGAAACATGTGTCAGTTTCGAGCAGAATCGGATTTTCGGATATTCTAAGAAGTGGGTATCTGCCAGATCGAATTTGACGAGATAGATGATGTTCTTATATTCGATAGCTTGGATGGATCATCATCCCCAGGTGTCGCAGACACCGAATTTTTAGGGTAACGGACATCAGATTCCGAGCACGACATCCAAACGGATAATCGAGGGAGAACATCGAGCAGAATAATCATAATGGTTAAAATATACGTGTAAATACTGGCGATAACACAACTGATAGTGTGCGTAATATGATGAGATACTCTTGAACCAACTGCTAGCGCTTACTATAGAATCAAAAATCATCTTGCAGCCAAAAGCAAAGACAGACACGCATGAATATATAGATAAACGATTCGTTACCAATACGCATTCCCAGCACTGACTTCTTCCTTCTTCGCGAGGTCAACCTCGAGTTCGATTCTCCTCCACAATCTCCTGAAGCTGTTTCTCGCTCGTGGCGATAAGTCGTTTCACCATGTCGAAAGTCGTTAGCCTAATGCTGTTCACATCAAACGATATCAATACCCCTCAAAGAAATTAAGCAGGGCCAAGGATTCGTATACTAGAGGCAAGTATCTGAGGTTTTCTTAACTGGCCAACTCTTCTGTTAGTTTCTAACTAAAGATGCAATACAGATTTCAATATTTTGCACATTTCACCTGACCTGTAAAGCGCATAAGCAGCCCTGAGATCCTCAAGAGAGCTGTTCATAAGAGAATCTTACCTGCTGTTTGGTAGAGTTTTCAACGCGTTTGGCAAAAACCCTCGGTACAATCCCCTAACCCCGTCTCGCTCTATGATTCCTGAAAATGGTAGATATGGTTAAGTACCGCCTTTCAGTTGGGAATGCGGATACATAACTAAGTAGTTCTGAGATAAATATTTACAACATGGAAATCAGCAACCGCATAATTTAGCTGTCAGGCTTAGATGAGTATCCTCCAACCATTTTTCCAGCCAATCAAAAAAGTACCAAGGGGTGTCAGAACATTTTATTAAGATGTTGTTCTTTACCCTGGACCCACTCAGCTCAGGTTCTTATGAAGATCTTGTTCTACAGTGACAAATGATTAAGCTGAACGTTTTACCAGCAAATGCGTCCAGAATCGATTTGTAAGGAGTGCCCCTCATTTGCATTTGCCGTCTCATCGTGTCCAGAGGGTAACATGTCAGCGTGGCAACGCTGGCAGAGAGAACAGCTGTCAAAAGAGATGATTGAGCCTTCTCTCTGTATTTCTCCGGTAAAGATTTCTTCACTCTGTTTCCAGTTTCAAAGCAAAAGGATATCAGTTCTGTTCTATTTTTCATTTTGGGTTCTCGAAAAAAAAACGAGAGAATGTCCACCAGACTCACAGATCGAAAATGCAGAAGTTCACAGCGATATACGGAGCTATCCCCACTAGAGATGGTCCGAGGCCATAATAGAAGGATGCAATTCCTTCTTCGCGTAGCATATTCAAAGCTACCTGCAAGAGTTTCCATTATTACACATCGTATATAGATAATAGCATGACCAGGATCACATCACGTCTGCATAAGCAAACAAAGGCATGACTCTACTTTTGAATACCTCAGCGATAGCATGCTAGTGGGGAAGAGTTCAATTCCTTTATGTATTGTTGGACTAAGTGAAACACCGACTCTATTCAAGCAATTCAGCCTTACAAACACAACCACAATCCTTAAAAAGTCAAACCAGGAAAGGTAAAGCAGTACAGTTTTAAGTCTCTCAACTCGTACCTGAGACATGGTTCGGTACCCAGGTTCTACTGCCAACCGTAGTCTCAAGACATCTAATGGATATGTTACCTGCATAAGAATCCAATACAAAAGTAGCTTGACAAATCAACATATCTATATGCTTGGAACAAGCACACTATGCAAGGATTTAGTTCAAGAAACAACAATAGAATAATCCGGATTTTAGAAAAGACATCCTTTTAGAGTTGTTGGATGTGAGGTCTTCAATAGATCTCTATTCTACAAACAAATATGTAGTAGAAATGATTCATTAGGTAATTGATACAACTTAAATTTTCCACAGCGTCCATAAATTTATGTGATTGTATCTGCAACTCCTCGTTAAACCTCAGATTCGACATTCAAATTTTCTGAGCACTTGGACACAAAGCTCTGGAAAGGCAAAACAGTACAGACAACATAGCAAATATATTATCTATTAGGCCACAAGTACTTACGAAAGTAGATGTCATGCCAGCGCATGCACCTGCAGCTAGTCTTCCAATTACTGACAGCTCGCCATTTTTCCCTTTGAACAATTTCTAAAATCAAGATATAGAAGCATCAGCCAAATAGGTCAAAATATTAAAGACAGAGAGGCAATGATACAGCAAAAAGAGGAGTTCTTTTGTGTATAATCTTGAACATTGTCAGCACGAAACAACACAAAGACAGGCAAAAGCAAAGCACCTTGTAAGTCTCATAAGCCAAGAGCTGAACGGCGCTGTAAGGTAAGACCCTTATCACCTGATGTTCACAATCCCCAGAAAGAAATTTGTCAAGTGGAATGTCACGAAATCATTTTCAGAACACCGGAATCGAAGCGAAAGATTTCAGAGGACCTGAGGCAAGTTTCCCTTCCAGTACCCTTTTACTCCTTCGTTGGCTATCAAAGTGACTGCCTGTAGTGGTTCATTTCCCATCAGTAACAACACTAAAGACTTTAGATAAGAGTGGGCGAAGAAGAATCAATGGTGTATGAGCATTGTTGACTCGCAAACTCAACCTCTACAAAACCAAATGCATTCTTCGCGCTTTCATGTCCAACTCTTATCCCATGAGTCTGCAGATAAAACAAAATAAAATCCTTCACGTATTTTAGATTACCAGGAGATGCATTGAAGATATTATGTAAAATCTAAATCCCTACCTGAGAGGTAAATGTTTATTTATTTTTTCCCCAAAAATATAGTCAGAAAAACAAATATCGAATGTTGCTGAGAAATCCAAAACCTGTATAAGAAGCTTGATACGGTCAAGCGGAGCGGTGACGGTCTTCGCGGCGGCTCCGGCGATAGCACCGGCGGCGAATATGGCGGCGTCCTTGGGGACGAGAGCGAGAATTGCGAGCGGATGCTTGAGGAGCTGAGCCGGAGTCGGAGCGAATTCCTTCTGCTCGCACTTCTGCGCCAGTGAAACGCACGCGAAACCGCCATCTCCGACGCCGAAATTCCGCCATCCACCGCGGCGCAACCGTACGGAACCGGTTTTCGCCGGAGAGGGGCTTAGAATGGGGCCGAAACCGGCGGATTCAAGGGAAGGTATTCTCTGGAATTTGATTATGGCTCTCTCTTCCTCCATGGTACGACAGAAGAGAAAGAAGATAAGGCGAAGGGTTGTAGTTGTTTCAAAAAAACAAAGCCGCTCTGCTAGCTGGTCAGATGGCGCGAGCAGCAGGGGGGGGGGGATTGGTTTGTCATCTACGGCTCCTGAGCAGTACAGTGGGCTTATGGGCCTACTCATGGGCCTAGAGTTCGGCCCATTATTTCAAGATTATAACGGAACTTTTTCTTTAGGCATTTTGTCGTAATATTTGCCGTATAATTTCTACAGTATAACATATATATATATTATTAAGATTTAGACGACATAACGTGGTCGTGAAAAGTGGGCGTTTGTAATGTCAAAATACGTATGTGTTTTGGTATGGTTTATCGTGTATTTGTTTTAAACTCGTACAAAAATCCCAAATATTTTAAAATACCGTATAAATATTATAAAACGATAAAACCAAATAACTACTCCATATAAATAATATCATATTAAGAAATACAAAGAGTTTCAGATCTATATAATATAATTTCAGATTCTATATAATTTATGTATTAACGTGTTTCCTATTTAAATTGAATTTATATATTCTTATTATTAAAATATGAATTAAAACTTATAATAAAATAAAAATACATTGTATATTTAAACTCAATTCGGTTATTGATAGGCTTTGTATTTCTCAACAATTGCATTCATGGCAAAAGATACACCAACGAAAAACAATAACAATATATATTGCTATTATTTATTATTATGATTACATTGAAAAATGCAATTATTACCGGACAAGGAGGCCAAACAACATTTAGAGAGAGAGAGAGAGAACATGGAGAGAAGTAAAGATTTGAAGAGGAAACAAAACAAGAGAAGCAAAATGCCCTCAAGACAGAGCATGTCTAGAAACCTGTCTTCATCAAGCACCTGATCTTTAGTATTAAATATCGAACTGAAACTCATGACGCCCCAAGATCCAGGGATTCCCTCTGACAGGTCAACGAATCAATACTCCATTCCCTTTCGTCGTCGATTTCTCGATCGGACACACGGCGATCTCTTTAGGCTGAGAAGATTCCTCCGCCGCCGGCGTTCAACGGTCCAAATCTCAAGTCCGTAACCTCAGCTGGTTGTTCTGATAGGGAAAAAATATACCCATTATATATATATAAGAGATTCAAAACTATTTTATAACATAAGAAAAAGGGTTTTTCATTTCACAAAAAAAAAGGGTTTTCAAAATATCACACTTACTCATCGGAGGAATTCTGTTGACGAAGAAGCAGGCACCGATGATTACGTAGCACAGCAAGAGAACCAGTCCCTTCATGTAATGAGAAGTTCCGTCCTATAACGTACCACAAAAGAAAAAATAACAAATTGATTATAATATGTAACTATATATAGTTGATGAAATTATTATAATTAACGTGACGTTAAGAATGTAACCTGTAAGGTGAAGGCGGTGATGATAATAGCGAGGGCCAGAGAACCAGTCTCGAGGATGTTAAAGTTGAGATCCATATCGATTCCCATTATCCATGCAACAATGACGCACAAGGGAACCTAAAAGCAACATTAAAAATAAAGAATCCATTTATAATGTTTTCTGCATCATTTTCTGATATTTTTTTTATAAAAAAATACCCTTTAATCAATAGATTATTTCATATCTAAGAATTATAAGGGTTTGAAATTTAGGGTTTCATCATTGGGAAACCGATAGCTTACCACGAACAAGGAGATCTGAGTTGCAGAACCTAACGCGACACCAAGAGATATGTCCTGCAATATTATCCGAGAGTTTTCAGTAATGTCGGATCTATTTAATCCAAGAATAATTAACCTTTATATAGGACAAGAAAAAAGTGGCAAGGATTCGGAATATTTACGAGCTTGTTCTTGAACGCGAAAATGATCGCTCCCGCGTGCTCGGCCGCGTTTCCAACAATGGGCAGCAAAATGATGCTGATGAAACTCACCGATAATCCCCAAGTGTCCGAAGCATCCTAATATAAAGATAAAAACCAATGAAAAAACTCTTTATTAGATCGAGTATTCGTGTATATATATATGTGTGTATATATATGTATGTGTATATATATGATAACATTTTAGTGTTCTAAGGTTTCAAACAGTTCTAGCTATACCTCGATGGTTCCCACCACATACTCGGATAGCAAGGCGATGACGATGGTCATCCCGGCCAGCCAAATAAATCCACTCCAGAATCCGATCACTGGAGTTTCTTCATCACTAACATCATCGTTATACTCGTCGTCCTGAATCATACACCCCACGAGATCGATTAGATCAAACTTTACTTGCATCACAAGTAAAATCAACATTACTTGCATCGCAAGTTAAATCATCTTTACAGCATTTCGAAGACGATTTTACTCATCAAAGTATTCATAAACCCTAATATAGATGTTTTACGGACGGGAAATAAGTACCTCTTGGGCCTCGAATAACTGACGGTGTGTCCAAAGCTGGAAGACGAGGTAAACTATGTAACCGATCAACATAACGATACTGCTTGCCCGCGATAGAGTTAACGTCGCCTCGGAAATCAGAGCTGCCGATGATTCTCCGGTGGCCACATGGTTGAACAACATTGGTAGCAAGTGGCAAAGCAGCCCCATCAGCAGCAAGAAGGCATTCACATCGGCTTGTTTCTGGTACAAAAGAAAGAGAATCAATATCAATGAAGCTTAACCGGTTCAGTTTTCAGAATTACTAGATATCTGGTTCAGCACTAACCAAACCGATCAATTGATCTCTCGGTTTGGTATTCAGGTGTCCCGGGTTTCCAAGATCCATATCAATTTAAAAAAAATTAGCCTTGTGTGTGAATTCCGGTTCAACTCTACCATAACCGATCTACGAAACCGAAGTGGTCCATCAATAAAATATCGGCTTAAGGCCGAGTTACTCATTGCAGTTGTATCGTGTAAAACTGATGTATTTGGTGCTGACAATACTGTCAATTAATTAGCCAACCGGTTTAGTACAGATAGACCCGGTTATTAAGGTGAACCGGAGAATTGAGGAGGGGGCATACCCGGTCGAACCGCTGCTCCCTACGGAGATTGGCAATGCCACCGCAGAAGAGGGAAGTGCCGAGAACCAATAAGAGGTTGGAGAGAATGGAACCCAGCAATGAGTACTTGACCACGTCGATCTTGTGGCTGGCTAACGCCAGTACCGCTATTATCAGCTCCGTGGCGTTACCACACGTGGCGTTCAACAGTCCTCCCACTGCGTTATAATAAAAATTGATCGTTTATTTGCTTCGCATAGTATTGATAGCGACGTTATATCCGTAACGCCTGGATATAACATTGTATAATAATATGATGTAAGATAATAAATTGATTATTTACCCGTTGGACCGGTATAGAAGGCTATTTGCCTGCAAAAAAATGCACCAGTAAATAATTAAAATTATTGAAATTTGGTATAAAAAAACTAGTTATTTAAATATGTATTACATCGTTCAAACATGATCTTCAGACGGTTGAAATCAAAATATTTTTATTAATAAGACCGCATAGTTTTGTACTATTATTTATTTCTGGTATTGAACCAAATAGAGGAATCTCAAGAATAAATCTGTATATTAAAAAATAAAAGAGTTGGTACGACCGATGATGTAATGGAAGAAAGTGCGAATAATTTATAACAAAGCATATAATTTAATAAATTAATGATCATATAATATAATTGCATTGGGATTTTTACTTACTCTGTCAGAAAGCTGACACGCTCCGCGAGAGGTGTCAACCCCAGCAAGCTCAATGCAAATATCCATGGCTGTTTTCACGTAAAACGAAATTATTAAACGTATAATTAAATAAATATTATCCATGCAATTTACACACACACACTCACACGTACATATATATATATGGTTTAGTGAGAGAAAGTGAAGAATGAGCGGATAGAGAGAGAGAGAGAGAGCATACGCGAGCGAAGCCGTAGGAGTTGGCGACAATGGCGAGGGGGATGGCGGGAAAAAGAACGGAGAGTTTGGTTCCGAGGATGACTTCCTGGAGATTCGCGAGGAAATCTTTGAGACATTTGCAAGGAACCTTCTGGATCATTTTCAGATCAGACTTCTTCCTCAGGGAAGAAGACGACATGTTGTGAGCTGTTCTTCCATGTCTCAGCTCTCTGCTCGAACCCTTCATGTGCCCTCCATTCTCCAACGTCCTCGGCTCTGCAGCAACGCTCCCCATATCGATATCTCTCAGATTCTCGATCCAAATGCCGTGAACTCCACACACTTATACAGGAGAATTCGTATGAATGATGCCTTGTGTTCTTGTTTTTTTTAATTAGGGTTTGTGTGAGGGATAAGAGAACGGTTTCAAGCGCTTATAAATAAGCTGCTTGTGAGGTCCATGATTGAATCTGTGGGTCCACATGCAACTTCCACGAAGTTTCGTTTTTTGCCATTTAAATATAACCAATTTTTTAACTATTTTGTAATGTTGTATCAATGGTAGGTTTTAGATATTTCCATGGCATATATGGTAAATATGCAACGGGTTAAACAAATAAATTCCATATCTTCCCTTTATTGGGAACTTTTATTCTATGTTAGCGGTCTTATTCTCTTTGTATCCAAGTCTAATACATTCAAAGATAGAATCCAAAGAAATTTCTCTTTTGCTTTGCAATGGTTCATAAAATAACATATTTATTTATTTATTTATTTTCATAAAAAAACATATGTATTATATAATTTTCTATACTAAATTAAGCTAAGCCTAAACCGTCACCATCTATTGTAATAATACGCTTTCATGTGATGGAGTCGGAATTTTCCATCTTAGAAAAATAAGATTTATATAATATATTATAAATAGGAGAATCCAATTAAAAATGTTAAATTTGTATATTAACTCCTTTATTTTTTTAATAGATGAATTTCTCATTTCGAAAAAATAACATGATTATCGAACGTTGATATCCATAAATCGATTATACGTTGATTTTTACCACCGTCATATTGATCACACCGTGTCAGGTCGAAGAAACTGATTCCATTGAGCATGTCATATGCCACATCATACGTTGACGTGGCAAAAACGATTGAGTGGTAAAAACATGATGACGTGGCAAACCCGTCGGAAAAAATTGGCTTTCTGATATGCCACGTCAGACTGATTTGACGGTGATAAAAATTAATGTTGATCAACTTTTAAAATGATAACTATCTCCGTTTCTAAACACAAAAAATTTGTTACTAAATAATAGATGTTGTTTCAGATTTTTTAGGTGATTTTTTTGGTAAATTTTTCAAATTTATCCTTATTCAAAGATATCTAACTTCAATAGATTATTAATGAAAATATAATTTAATAAGGGTATATATTATTTTTTTATATTTTTTAAAACTGTAACAAAAACTAAGACATTTATTTTGTAATAGAGGGAGTAACTTTTGATAGATTCGGGTTTTCCATATCAGTATTTCAAGTTGAGAAATTTAGTTTTAAAACAAAAAAGTAAAGGTGTTCAAATTCTATGCAAGTCTAATAATTTTGATGGGATTCTATTCCCTTAAAAAAATATAATTAACATGAATATTTTTTTCGTAAGAAACTCGATTTTTTTAAAAAATTATCAGTTTTTTCAGTTATTTTTTTTAATTAATTCGGTTTTGATTTTTTCTGGTTTAGAAAAATTATAACCGTTCGGTTTTTATATCGAGTTCGATTCGATTACAGTTATGTCTTATTCGGTTTGATTCGATTATTTGGTTGATAACCGAAATGATCATCCTAACACCAACCATATGTATCCTGATATACTTTTTGCATGATGGAGTGAATTTTCACCTTAAAAAAATGGAACTTACAAAATATATCGCAAAGCACTAATCAAAAACGATAAATAGGATCCCACTTTGTGGTAGGGGTAGACGTTTCGGGAAACGGTTCGGGTTTGTGACGGGAATGGATCGGTTTGGTTCTTTCGATTTTACAAAAATAAGTACCAATCGGTTTTTATATTGTATTCGATTCGGTTTCGGTATCGGTTTGGTTCGGCTCTGAGTTTTATTAAAAAAAAGGATAGATTTGCTTTAAAAATATTCGGTTTTTCGGGATTTTTAAAGTTCGGTTCGGTTTGGTTCGGTTCGATTCCGGAAAAATTCGGTTATCTAAAAATGGTACCGTTCGAGAATTAAGAACGGTTTCAGATCGGAAAAAATACCGTTTTTTCGGTTTGGTTCGGTCCGATTCCGAAGAACCAAACCGAAACGTCCAGCTCTACTTTGTGGTGGTCAAGTGGTTGAAACTAGTTGACATATTTTGTCCTAGCGATTAGTTGAGAAAATATGCAATTTAATTATAGAAAAATTGTATTTCGATTCGGGGTGGATATAATTGGATCGAGTTTATAGTGAATCAATCTGATTAAAAAAATGATAAATCGAACCGGGTATTTACATCAGACCGAATTAAATCAAATAAATTCACTACGCATGACACATGAGAGAGTGTTCCTTAGGGAACTCATAGGACATCAAAAGTGCCGAGACGCCACCGTTTCGACTTTTAGCGTTTGGAAGAGACCAGTTGCAGCTCTCAGCTTTTTTGTCGTATTTGTGTCCCAATTACCTGTTATACCTTCAAATACAAATTCAATTACTTATTGGACCACTCAAACGTTTATATAATGCCAAAAATCGGCATATTTTACGAAATGAAATATACTGTGTATATATATATATATATATTAAATATGATAAGGATGGCATTCTGTTCGGTTACTTGTAAATTAAACCGATCTAAATTCGTAATCAAAATCAATATAAAATCCAATGAGTATGATATTTTTATAACGAAAATTGAATATAAACCGTATAAAAATAACTGGAAAAATGTATTTTTTTTAAATAAGCATTTTTATTAGCAAAATTCCAAACGGATCCAAATTTAATCTAACCTAATATAAAATCCGGATGAATATAAAATCGAAAAAAGTTGTATTAAGAAAATGAAATCTATCCCAAAATCTGCATTAATTACAATATGAGTATGGTCGTATATTCCGATGGATTCGGTTATTCAGATTTTGTGAATGTGAATATTCGCGTGGGAGATTTTGTAAATATCGGATTTTATTCGATATTCTGTTCATTGGATCACATGCCTTGTTTGATTATGCAATCTAAATCGCTTTTATAATTATTATCAAATCGACTATGAACTCTTTATATACTTCCGTATCTAATTTTATCGACATTGATTTGTTTGGACCGACGCGAGCGATGTCGGCTCAAGGTACGGATTTTTGTTGTTTAGTTTGCCGCGAGGTACGGTCTTAGGGTTTTGATTTGTCAAAATTAGTTTTTATAATTTTATGAATAAATTATCGTTTAGAATAAAAAGGACGATTGTATAACTTGGATTCGACAAATTGTATTTCCACGATCATCGTATATTTGTACCGTAAACTATAGAATATTGGGATTTTTACTTACTCTGTCAGAAAGCTGACACGCTCCGCGAGAGGTGTCAACCCCAGCAAGCTCAATGCAAATATCCATGGCTGTTTTCACGTAAAACGAAATTATTAAACGTATAATTAAATAAATATTATCCATGCAATTTACACACACACACTCACACGTACATATATATATATGGTTTAGTGAGAGAAAGTGAAGAATGAGCGGATAGAGAGAGAGAGAGAGAGCATACGCGAGCGAAGCCGTAGGAGTTGGCGACAATGGCGAGGGGGATGGCGGGAAAAAGAACGGAGAGTTTGGTTCCGAGGATGACTTCCTGGAGATTCGCGAGGAAATCTTTGAGACATTTGCAAGGAACCTTCTGGATCATTTTCAGATCAGACTTCTTCCTCAGGGAAGAAGACGACATGTTGTGAGCTGTTCTTCCATGTCTCAGCTCTCTGCTCGAACCCTTCATGTGCCCTCCATTCTCCAACGTCCTCGGCTCTGCAGCAACGCTCCCCATATCGATATCTCTCAGATTCTCGATCCAAATGCCGTGAACTCCACACACTTATACAGGAGAATTCGTATGAATGATGCCTTGTGTTCTTGTTTTTTTTAATTAGGGTTTGTGTGAGGGATAAGAGAACGGTTTCAAGCGCTTATAAATAAGCTGCTTGTGAGGTCCATGATTGAATCTGTGGGTCCACATGCAACTTCCACGAAGTTTCGTTTTTTGCCATTTAAATATAACCAATTTTTTAACTATTTTGTAATGTTGTATCAATGGTAGGTTTTAGATATTTCCATGGCATATATGGTAAATATGCAACGGGTTAAACAAATAAATTCCATATCTTCCCTTTCGAGTATTCGTGTATATATATATGTGTGTATATATATGTATGTGTATATATATGATAACATTTTAGTGTTCTAAGGTTTCAAACAGTTCTAGCTATACCTCGATGGTTCCCACCACATACTCGGATAGCAAGGCGATGACGATGGTCATCCCGGCCAGCCAAATAAATCCACTCCAGAATCCGATCACTGGAGTTTCTTCATCACTAACATCATCGTTATACTCGTCGTCCTGAATCATACACCCCACGAGATCGATTAGATCAAACTTTACTTGCATCACAAGTAAAATCAACATTACTTGCATCGCAAGTTAAATCATCTTTACAGCATTTCGAAGACGATTTTACTCATCAAAGTATTCATAAACCCTAATATAGATGTTTTACGGACGGGAAATAAGTACCTCTTGGGCCTCGAATAACTGACGGTGTGTCCAAAGCTGGAAGACGAGGTAAACTATGTAACCGATCAACATAACGATACTGCTTGCCCGCGATAGAGTTAACGTCGCCTCGGAAATCAGAGCTGCCGATGATTCTCCGGTGGCCACATGGTTGAACAACATTGGTAGCAAGTGGCAAAGCAGCCCCATCAGCAGCAAGAAGGCATTCACATCGGCTTGTTTCTGGTACAAAAGAAAGAGAATCAATATCAATGAAGCTTAACCGGTTCAGTTTTCAGAATTACTAGATATCTGGTTCAGCACTAACCAAACCGATCAATTGATCTCTCGGTTTGGTATTCAGGTGTCCCGGGTTTCCAAGATCCATATCAATTTAAAAAAAATTAGCCTTGTGTGTGAATTCCGGTTCAACTCTACCATAACCGATCTACGAAACCGAAGTGGTCCATCAATAAAATATCGGCTTAAGGCCGAGTTACTCATTGCAGTTGTATCGTGTAAAACTGATGTATTTGGTGCTGACAATACTGTCAATTAATTAGCCAACCGGTTTAGTACAGATAGACCCGGTTATTAAGGTGAACCGGAGAATTGAGGAGGGGGCATACCCGGTCGAACCGCTGCTCCCTACGGAGATTGGCAATGCCACCGCAGAAGAGGGAAGTGCCGAGAACCAATAAGAGGTTGGAGAGAATGGAACCCAGCAATGAGTACTTGACCACGTCGATCTTGTGGCTGGCTAACGCCAGTACCGCTATTATCAGCTCCGTGGCGTTACCACACGTGGCGTTCAACAGTCCTCCCACTGCGTTATAATAAAAATTGATCGTTTATTTGCTTCGCATAGTATTGATAGCGACGTTATATCCGTAACGCCTGGATATAACATTGTATAATAATATGATGTAAGATAATAAATTGATTATTTACCCGTTGGACCGGTATAGAAGGCTATTTGCCTGCAAAAAAATGCACCAGTAAATAATTAAAATTATTGAAATTTGGTATAAAAAAACTAGTTATTTAAATATGTATTACATCGTTCAAACATGATCTTCAGACGGTTGAAATCAAAATATTTTTATTAATAAGACCGCATAGTTTTGTACTATTATTTATTTCTGGTATTGAACCAAATAGAGGAATCTCAAGAATAAATCTGTATATTAAAAAATAAAAGAGTTGGTACGACCGATGATGTAATGGAAGAAAGTGCGAATAATTTATAACAAAGCATATAATTTAATAAATTAATGATCATATAATATAATTGCATTGGGATTTTTACTTACTCTGTCAGAAAGCTGACACGCTCCGCGAGAGGTGTCAACCCCAGCAAGCTCAATGCAAATATCCATGGCTGTTTTCACGTAAAACGAAATTATTAAACGTATAATTAAATAAATATTATCCATGCAATTTACACACACACACTCACACGTACATATATATATATGGTTTAGTGAGAGAAAGTGAAGAATGAGCGGATAGAGAGAGAGAGAGAGAGCATACGCGAGCGAAGCCGTAGGAGTTGGCGACAATGGCGAGGGGGATGGCGGGAAAAAGAACGGAGAGTTTGGTTCCGAGGATGACTTCCTGGAGATTCGCGAGGAAATCTTTGAGACATTTGCAAGGAACCTTCTGGATCATTTTCAGATCAGACTTCTTCCTCAGGGAAGAAGACGACATGTTGTGAGCTGTTCTTCCATGTCTCAGCTCTCTGCTCGAACCCTTCATGTGCCCTCCATTCTCCAACGTCCTCGGCTCTGCAGCAACGCTCCCCATATCGATATCTCTCAGATTCTCGATCCAAATGCCGTGAACTCCACACACTTATACAGGAGAATTCGTATGAATGATGCCTTGTGTTCTTGTTTTTTTTAATTAGGGTTTGTGTGAGGGATAAGAGAACGGTTTCAAGCGCTTATAAATAAGCTGCTTGTGAGGTCCATGATTGAATCTGTGGGTCCACATGCAACTTCCACGAAGTTTCGTTTTTTGCCATTTAAATATAACCAATTTTTTAACTATTTTGTAATGTTGTATCAATGGTAGGTTTTAGATATTTCCATGGCATATATGGTAAATATGCAACGGGTTAAACAAATAAATTCCATATCTTCCCTTTATTGGGAACTTTTATTCTATGTTAGCGGTCTTATTCTCTTTGTATCCAAGTCTAATACATTCAAAGATAGAATCCAAAGAAATTTCTCTTTTGCTTTGCAATGGTTCATAAAATAACATATTTATTTATTTATTTATTTTCATAAAAAAACATATGTATTATATAATTTTCTATACTAAATTAAGCTAAGCCTAAACCGTCACCATCTATTGTAATAATACGCTTTCATGTGATGGAGTCGGAATTTTCCATCTTAGAAAAATAAGATTTATATAATATATTATAAATAGGAGAATCCAATTAAAAATGTTAAATTTGTATATTAACTCCTTTATTTTTTTAATAGATGAATTTCTCATTTCGAAAAAATAACATGATTATCGAACGTTGATATCCATAAATCGATTATACGTTGATTTTTACCACCGTCATATTGATCACACCGTGTCAGGTCGAAGAAACTGATTCCATTGAGCATGTCATATGCCACATCATACGTTGACGTGGCAAAAACGATTGAGTGGTAAAAACATGATGACGTGGCAAACCCGTCGGAAAAAATTGGCTTTCTGATATGCCACGTCAGACTGATTTGACGGTGATAAAAATTAATGTTGATCAACTTTTAAAATGATAACTATCTCCGTTTCTAAACACAAAAAATTTGTTACTAAATAATAGATGTTGTTTCAGATTTTTTAGGTGATTTTTTTGGTAAATTTTTCAAATTTATCCTTATTCAAAGATATCTAACTTCAATAGATTATTAATGAAAATATAATTTAATAAGGGTATATATTATTTTTTTATATTTTTTAAAACTGTAACAAAAACTAAGACATTTATTTTGTAATAGAGGGAGTAACTTTTGATAGATTCGGGTTTTCCATATCAGTATTTCAAGTTGAGAAATTTAGTTTTAAAACAAAAAAGTAAAGGTGTTCAAATTCTATGCAAGTCTAATAATTTTGATGGGATTCTATTCCCTTAAAAAAATATAATTAACATGAATATTTTTTTCGTAAGAAACTCGATTTTTTTAAAAAATTATCAGTTTTTTCAGTTATTTTTTTTAATTAATTCGGTTTTGATTTTTTCTGGTTTAGAAAAATTATAACCGTTCGGTTTTTATATCGAGTTCGATTCGATTACAGTTATGTCTTATTCGGTTTGATTCGATTATTTGGTTGATAACCGAAATGATCATCCTAACACCAACCATATGTATCCTGATATACTTTTTGCATGATGGAGTGAATTTTCACCTTAAAAAAATGGAACTTACAAAATATATCGCAAAGCACTAATCAAAAACGATAAATAGGATCCCACTTTGTGGTAGGGGTAGACGTTTCGGGAAACGGTTCGGGTTTGTGACGGGAATGGATCGGTTTGGTTCTTTCGATTTTACAAAAATAAGTACCAATCGGTTTTTATATTGTATTCGATTCGGTTTCGGTATCGGTTTGGTTCGGCTCTGAGTTTTATTAAAAAAAAGGATAGATTTGCTTTAAAAATATTCGGTTTTTCGGGATTTTTAAAGTTCGGTTCGGTTTGGTTCGGTTCGATTCCGGAAAAATTCGGTTATCTAAAAATGGTACCGTTCGAGAATTAAGAACGGTTTCAGATCGGAAAAAATACCGTTTTTTCGGTTTGGTTCGGTCCGATTCCGAAGAACCAAACCGAAACGTCCAGCTCTACTTTGTGGTGGTCAAGTGGTTGAAACTAGTTGACATATTTTGTCCTAGCGATTAGTTGAGAAAATATGCAATTTAATTATAGAAAAATTGTATTTCGATTCGGGGTGGATATAATTGGATCGAGTTTATAGTGAATCAATCTGATTAAAAAAATGATAAATCGAACCGGGTATTTACATCAGACCGAATTAAATCAAATAAATTCACTACGCATGACACATGAGAGAGTGTTCCTTAGGGAACTCATAGGACATCAAAAGTGCCGAGACGCCACCGTTTCGACTTTTAGCGTTTGGAAGAGACCAGTTGCAGCTCTCAGCTTTTTTGTCGTATTTGTGTCCCAATTACCTGTTATACCTTCAAATACAAATTCAATTACTTATTGGACCACTCAAACGTTTATATAATGCCAAAAATCGGCATATTTTACGAAATGAAATATACTGTGTATATATATATATATATATTAAATATGATAAGGATGGCATTCTGTTCGGTTACTTGTAAATTAAACCGATCTAAATTCGTAATCAAAATCAATATAAAATCCAATGAGTATGATATTTTTATAACGAAAATTGAATATAAACCGTATAAAAATAACTGGAAAAATGTATTTTTTTTAAATAAGCATTTTTATTAGCAAAATTCCAAACGGATCCAAATTTAATCTAACCTAATATAAAATCCGGATGAATATAAAATCGAAAAAAGTTGTATTAAGAAAATGAAATCTATCCCAAAATCTGCATTAATTACAATATGAGTATGGTCGTATATTCCGATGGATTCGGTTATTCAGATTTTGTGAATGTGAATATTCGCGTGGGAGATTTTGTAAATATCGGATTTTATTCGATATTCTGTTCATTGGATCACATGCCTTGTTTGATTATGCAATCTAAATCGCTTTTATAATTATTATCAAATCGACTATGAACTCTTTATATACTTCCGTATCTAATTTTATCGACATTGATTTGTTTGGACCGACGCGAGCGATGTCGGCTCAAGGTACGGATTTTTGTTGTTTAGTTTGCCGCGAGGTACGGTCTTAGGGTTTTGATTTGTCAAAATTAGTTTTTATAATTTTATGAATAAATTATCGTTTAGAATAAAAAGGACGATTGTATAACTTGGATTCGACAAATTGTATTTCCACGATCATCGTATATTTGTACCGTAAACTATAGAATATGTTGTTTATTTTAGAGTAAATTGATGGATTTAATAAATCTCTCATGTGATTCATGTTTATATGTATTACGGATATGGTGGAGGAGTTATATATTCGTAAATGATATAGTATGAATTGGTAAAGTATATACATGTATTTTGTAAAGTATATACTTGTGTTTAGTAGTGAAATTTAAGTGCAGAAATTCTGCACGGGCATGTAACACGGCCGTGTTTGTAACAAACACGGCCGTGTTAGGTTCAACACGGGCCGTGTTAATTCTCTGAGAAAATGCTGTTTTTCTCAGACATTTGACACGGACCGTGTTAAGGTTCAACACGGGCCGTGTTAATTCTCTGAGAAAATGCTGTTTTTCTCAGACATTTGACACGGACCGTGTTAAGGTGCAACACGGACCGTGTTAGGTGCAACACGGCCGTGTCAGATTCGACACGGACCGTGTTAAATGTCTGTAATATGAACAAATGCGGCCTTTCGCATGGAAACTACTAAATGGATACAACTTTTGATCATGTCTCTTGTGCTTTTAAAGCCAAGAACGTCAGAGAATGTTCATATACGAAATCTAATTGATCTTGAGAGATTTGTGAGCCTTCTTGAAGAAGAAACTTGCTACTTCTTCTTCATTCTTTACTGTTCATCCTCTTTCTCGGGTTTTTCTGTTTTGGACAACGTTTGAGGAGCAAATCATTCGTTGCGGATCTTCTTTGTATCTCTAAACGTATTCTCGGGTTTCTCCTTTGCTCGGTGGGGAGGGAATAACGTTTTAGGAAAGTGTTCTACGCGCCTAGAAGATTATATCCGGGTTCTTTCGTTTTCATTTCGATTTCACTGTTTAATTGTTCTTCCCCGCTGTTTTCCTAGTATTCATCTAACAGAATAGAGATGGAACAATAGAACCGTCCTCCTTTGGAGGGGAACCATGTTAAATTTTTTATAAATAAAAAAAATCAATGGTAAATCGATAAATTAACTTGTTTTTTTTTTATATCTTTCTGTAATCATGTTTTCGATGTTGTATAATTTTTGTTAATCGTTTAAATAGACCGTGAAGACTTTATTTGAATTTAGTTTACCTTTGTTATGGTTTGTGTGGGATTGGTTTCCATTTATCATAATTTGTATGGATTTGATTTGCGGTTATCGAGTTGAAATGACGAACTTCTATCTTGATGGAGTATATAACTTGTAGAGAATAGTTTGACCGGTTTAAACCGGTTTGATTTGGTTTAATCTTTATTTAATTAAAAAAGTTGTATAAATTAATAGTTATTCTTTGTTAATCAATAATAAAAGAGAATTTTGTTGAGCCGTATACAAATTCTTCTGTCGACTCTTTGGTTAAGACATTCTTTAATATTATTATGTGGCTGATTTTATTTTATTTCTACCATTTGGGAAGATATTTAAAAAAATATATCTTTTGGTTATCCGGTTTTTTTTACCGAATTTAATATTTTATATTTTAATCTGTCTGAAATTTAAAAAAAGAAATTAATTTTCAGACAATTTTTTCCTGCATAGAAATTTGATTCTTAATCAATAAACGGCATTGGATTTTTTTTTTTAAATCTATTATTCTAATTTTAGTTATATAGTTTTTGTGATGTAATTCATGGGACATACAATCTTGCATAGGATGCTTTTGATTTGATCGCCGGGCATTCGACATGGATATATATGAAAATCTTATATGATAGAAATCGAATAAAAATACATCGGAGCAATGCGCCTAATTATAATTATACCATTAAATTATATAATCAATACAGACGGATGCGGGGCCTAATATATAGCAATAATTGTTTCGGATATGAATTATTTCACTTGTCGACTTCAAGAAAAATTATACAATTACAATTGTCTGTATTTATAAGCAACGAACATTCAAGAAAGCAACTGCATACTCATCCTCATCCATGTATACACACACACACACACACACACATATATATATATATATATATATATATATATATAGGCCGGCTCCGAATGCGATTTATTACTCTGTACAATGTTATTCTTGTGCTTGTGTGTTGCTCCGATGTACAATATAAGATTGCAATAGATCTGCACATTTCAAATTTGGATTTAGTGATTTTCGAATTCAATTTTTTTTTTTAAAAAAAAAAGATTGTTTTCATTCGTTTTTTATGTTGGATTTGTTCCGTTCTAATTTTTATCCAAGTTTGGATTTTATTGAGGGATTCCAAAGAATTTTTTTGGGACTTTGAATTATTTTATATTCGGTCCGTATTCGATTTTTTTACTATGTAAATACGCACCCATAAGAAAATTGTGATCCTAAATGATGATGTGTATGAAATTGTAGAGTTACAATGGTATGTTGAAATTAAATACCACCATATATTGTACCACAAGTTGGATAAGCAAATGGAATGTCATGCAATAATACTAAAATTATGAAAGGAGACCCAACAGATCGTGGGCGAGTGGTCAAACTTGAGTGTTCGATTCCTGACTGGTGGGGAGGGAGTTAATTTCTAGGTATATATGATCCATATATAAAGGCTGTTCCCGGGTCGGAGGTTTACCTAGTCAGCGCGTCCGAAGGGTAGCAGGTAGGGATCCTCTGTTATCAAACAAAAAAAAAATTATGAAAGGAGAATTAAAAAATGAACTGGTAAATCTTAATTATCCATGAATGGCCAAGAACGTAACATCTCCCACATGCGAGCATGTGACGAGAGAAATTGCAAGACATGACTATACACACACACACACATATATATATATATATATATATAT